CACGTAGAATTTTGTCCAATGACCCCAAGCTACCCATCCTTATCGCTCGCGCGTAATGGGGATGTTGCCTGGGTCAAAAAGCAAGAGTTTTAATTAGTCCGTCAGTTAACTTATCAAAAAATACTCTACACGTATTTTTCACTTTTTCAAACTAATGAAAATTTAAAGAAATAAAGCGCCCCAAAGTTCATAAGAAGAGGCCCGTGACGTCAACGCTTGCTTAAAAATGCCGCACGTTGTGACGTCGTGCGCAACTTCAACGCACCATAACTATGTAATTATTTGTTAGATTGACAAATAAAAATATACGTGTCCAATATTTTTTGATATTAAACATTACGGACTAAAAAAAATTTTTTAGGCAACTAGCCTATTATATTGCTGTCGCGACTGTGCGACGGGCGCCCGCAGTGAGTGTGCGAGCGCGACAACAACATAATTACGCGCCAGCGATAAGGATGGGTAGCTTGGGGTCATTGGACTAAATTCTATGTGACATAAACGTAACATTGACATAAACGTAACATTGCGTCCAATAGCCAACGTCGAATGAGACTACTTTTTGTATACGATCATGAGTAAGTTATGTGGAGATAGAAATATATGTATAACATATAAGTGGGTAATTTCAATTAAAAATAAAACTCTTTAAGAGGCAGTTACTTCGTCTTTTATTACGAGTAGAGAGTGTAGTAACACTGATTACAATTTGACATACACGCTGAAATAAAATAACGGTTTTTATTCCAATAAATACAAAGAACACACAGATAAAAAAACGCGCTGCTATTTGCGATTGCGATTAGGTTATAAAATTCGTTAAAAGTATTTAATATTATGTATCTAGAGTCAACACATTCAGACTTACAATCTAATACATTTTAAAATCTAATTACAGTGCCGCTTTGGGTGACATAAAGTTTCTTCGCAGGGTGTGTATGAACGGGATAGGACTCTGTAATCAATCCTCCTTTATCCAGTCTCAGTTTGGCCTTACAATGGGGGTATTTCGTGGAACAAACCCAGGAGTAACTGGCACCCAGCTTTGCGTATGTGTAGCCATCCCACAATACCAGATCCTTCCCTTTTTGGGACTTTACAATTCTGTAGCTTTTTCCCGCTGTGAACCAAAATTTTTTTTTTAATTAATTACGTACATGGAAGAAATATGAAGGGCAGCTAGGTAACAGGCAAAAGTAAAGATAATTAACATTACCTACTTAATGGAATTTGGTGAATAAACGACAAACACCATTACACATACGTACGAAGACGTCAGCACATCATATAGGTTATCAAAATCACCCCTTTCACAACCCGATCGAGCTAACTGCGCACCTCGCTGGAATTCGACTCTCCCGTACACCTCAAGGTAGCCTTTCGAACTAAGCGTCCTTTAGCTTTAACCTTTAGCTTTGGCCTTAAAGGTAGCCTTTCGAAGCGAGTTGTGACGCAGCGTCGGTGGCACAAGACCAAAATTAAAGACGCTGCGTCTGTGACGCTTAGTTCAAAAGGCTACCTTGACCAGGCCTGGCTCACTCCGCGCGGTACATCCGATAATTACCTACAGCGAAGCGCCCCGCCGCGGGCCGGCGGGTATTACATATATCAGTCGAGTGTCACGCGCGCGCTCGTCAGGACGCTGGCGCGTGGCGTGCGTTGTAGTAGTACCTAATTCTATGATCGAAGTATTATTTAAAAATGGACATAAAGAGAAAGAAATATTGTGCGGCGTTCGGGTGTTTAAACGAAAAGTAATCTACCGGATTTATCTTTTTTTTTTCGCTTTCCAAAGATGCTAAAAGGTATGTTGGCCATGTAGGTAATCAATAATTCTTAGGATAGTATAGGAACCTAATCTACCATGACTACTGCTTAGAATGCGTTCGTTCGTTTCAGCCAAATGACGTCCACTGCTGGACAAAGGCCTCTCCCAAGGTTTTCCATAATGAATGCGTACTTACATACATAGGTGTCATGAGGTACGTACCTCATGACATATAAGTAGATTTATAATTTTTTTCCACTAGACAGCAACCCTAACAGCGTAAGAAGAGTTCAGAGGCACGCGATAGAAAGAGACAAAACTTGTAGGTGAATAAAATTGTAAGTACGTAGTGCTGTGCGAGCTGAATTCCACTGTATCGCGTCGCAGCAAGACTCGCATTTATTTAAATCGTCTTGCGGAGTAATCCTTCTGTACCTGTACTATTACTTATTCTGTGCCTTGACCCACCACGTTCGTCTCGTCCGTACCAGAGCGTCTATGTGACGTCACGGCTGCCAGGTGCGCAGTTAACTCGGCTGGGTGACTTGTTCGTTAACTCGCACGCCTAAATTCTCGAGTTGGCACCTTCCGTTTTTTATGTCGTCAACTCGCACGTTTATGAAATCTGACGTTTGAAGAGTCAGTTACAAAAACGGTTTAATGAATTACCTATATTGAATCGTACAAAACACTTGAAACAACTTAAGTTTAAAAATAAAACAGAATATACTTTTCAGATAGGTTTTTAATATAAATCAACATGACAACAATATAAAATTAAATGTCTCGAGAATTTGGCTTATTATAATTTTCTAGCGGCCGGCTTGGCACAGGTAGTTATTAGGTATTTAAAGTTAAGCTCCAATTCCTTTGATACAAAATCAGTCACAGTCGTGACTGTCCTCTCGTTTGATAGAGTTATTGCTATAAGTAATTAATCTTGCCTTGCATACATTTCTCTTAGAACACCTCCAAATACAGGAACCGTCTTTATTTTCTCGTTGTTTATTATATTTGTATCCTGCACGAAGTAGTACCGACCTTCCTCGCTGGGATGTAATTATTTCAAATCCAGTTTCATTTCTGGGCGAACCTGCTTGTGATCCACTCCCTAAAACGATTTGATTCATGACAAACTTTTTATACACATATTTAAAAGCCAAATGAAGATAAAATAAAATATTGTTTAATAAGTAATAATAATTGAAAATGAACTTGTGGAATTACTTAAAAAAAATTAAGGCCAACTAAGTTAAACTAACAAAACAATTAAAGCAATACGTAAATTAAGAAAGTTCAATAGTTCTAATAATGAGTTAATCTGTGATATAATAACTACGCAAAAGAAAGAGTAATTGAAACATCTTTATTGATTCAAAATGTAATTTACAACTTGTTAGGCTTGTTCGTCGTCGAAGCTGAAAACATTGAATTTTCGGATAGATCTAGTTTATACTGTAATCTGTTATTGATACCGTTTGATAAAGCTTGTTAAGCACTTTCAGGATCAGTAATTAGTTTTTCGATATCTTTTATAGTTTGGAAATAATCAAGTGAGGTCACTTATCGTTTCCGTGCGAGTTGATTACAAAAAAATAGGTAAAAAATCGGAAGGTGCCGACTCGCACGCGCTTGCGAGTTTGACACGTGCGAGTTGACGAACAAGTTCGGGTTGTACATAAGATCTCTCGGTATTTAACTTGATGTGCTGTCGTCTGGAGATGAAGATATCTGCAAAAATTTTATGCTTAGTCAAAAATCATTGTAACTCAAAATCAAGGAAACATTTTATTGCCTTTTTTCTTATTCATTAAAATAACACACACACAATTTCAATATAAATCCACAACTTTTACTTATTTTCTAAAGATGATAGAGATTTTTTAAACGCGCTCACTAGCTCAGCCCATTAGTAAAAATTTTCTTTAACTTGTATAGTTTTCGAAACATGTGCTCTAGAATCTAGAAAGCCTGTAATCTGGAAATATTCATCTAACTAGTCTAAATAAAGTCACGAAGTCAGAAATTGTATTCCTCACATTTCCCTCTAATATTACTTTATTAACTGGCTTATACGTCGAAATGACAAAAGTCATCACTCTCACGGGATTTTGCAACAAAAACTTTTATAACGATAAACTGTAAAAAATGCAACATGAACATGATAGTTTTAAATGTTATATGACAAAATTCGTTCCGCTGTTAGATACGAATAACTTCCGCGTAGGGTGCGCACTATGCTGTTTGTGCACCCAAGTAATATTGCCTTCCTTGTCTAGCTTCAGCCTGGCCTTGCATCGAGGGTAGCTGGAACACTTCCAATAGGGTTTCACGTGAGAGTAAGTATAGTTATCCATCATTATGAGATCTCTCCCTCTTCGAGACTTCACAAATATGTAGGCTTTTTCTAAAAGCAAATTAAAGTTAGTAACGCGAGTTGACAGATAAAAACAATATACAGGATGTTTTGCTTGTGTGCTGCATATTAAATCATTGTTATTATTTCCAATTAAGTCAATATAAAATTCTTTGCCCAATCAACAAGGCACCAATAAAAAACAAATATTCTAATAATTCCTAAAATATAATTAATTTCTTTTATAATTTACATCATTACCTAGCTTTTAATGTTGCTTAATTAAAAATAGGGCTGGAATGGAAACAGAAAGAATCTACATACTCTTTCTTCAAAAACTACTGTACGGATTACGATTAATCTTTACAGTATTATTGTTAATAATCAAAATAATAAATGCTATAATTAATTTATAAACAATATCTTAACCATTAGGCTATGTGCGTACCTAATCGCGCTTACTCTTGATTTTATTTTAATAAAAAATATTACGTATCAAACTCGAATGATCGTCCCGTCAGATGCCTTCTTATACACCCTAGGTTTATGACAATGTACGTTGTGTATTTTGGTAATTCTCCCATCGTTGTCGAGCGTCAGCTTCGCCTTGCAGTTGGGGTTCTTGGTGGAACATAACCAGAACTTCCTCGTCCTCGACGAGGAGAATGTATACCCGTCGATGAGGATCAGGTCTTTACCCTTTTGAGACTTCACTATGTCGTAGTATAGACCTAAAAATAAAGAGCGAGCGTGACATTATGCTTAGTAAATAAAACTACTTGTAATTTGATTTTTTTATAAATAACACACACACGATTAGATAGAATCTTTATTTACAAAAGATCTTTATATAAACAAAAGTATTTTAAAGGCTAAGTTTCACCACCCTTAGTTAACCGTAAGTATAACCATAACCGTGTATGTTTATACGGATTTTGACTGATTTAACGTTTGTTATAGTTAATGAAAGTTTGTGCGACCCAGCATAATTATTATTTATTCTTCAGATGTTTGTACTATGACCATTTGGATTTCGCCATGTTCATTGAGATCTTGATTCATTTCCAGATGGTTATCTTGGACGTGATAGTGCAGAATATTCAGGTTTCCAGAACATTCAAAGACACTTTGACAGTGCTTACACAAATACGACCCGTTGTAGAGCCGGTCAAAGTTATCTTTGACAAATGACTCGGAAATATCTGAAAATAAAAAAAATATGTTGCCATCAAGCAAGCCTTCCTCCCATTTGTTCCATTGGGCTATGGTCGAATAAAGTTCTATGTATATGACTGTTTTAGTGGCTGCTAATCATCATCATTACCATTTCAGCCACAGGACGTCCACTGCTGAACATAGGGCTCCCCTAATGATTTCCTTATTGACCGGATGGTAGCGGCCTGCATCTAGCGCCTTCTTGTTACGTTTATGAGGCCGTTTTATTATGTTCGGTTCAATGACTGGATATTTACCCTATTTATCTTCCTCTAACTTTCCCCGGGACAAACATGACCTTCATTTGTTGGTTTTTATTGGCGGTCAAGCTGTAGATCCTGGCTACACAGGAGTTGCAGTGGTGGGTAAGAGAGGTGGGAATAGTCCCGTATTTATCTTTCTGCATATTTCAATATGTTTACCTGCACAACTGTCGCTGTTATTTCTATTTCGCCTTTGGTGAATGGAATCAGTAATAGGCGCGCTTGATAATATCACCAAGTACTCTTTCTTGTGCCGCGACTGAAGATGTCTTTTCAAGTTACTCACGAAGTTCGCGTACACCTTTATAGATGCCGAACAAAACATGCATACATAATCATTGTCCTTTCCGCGTTTGAAGAAGTTCCATATGCAGGTTTTGGATTTCGCTAGAAACAAACAAAATATTTGATTAGATTAACGCCCGTATTCACAAACGATTCTTGCTTAAGTGAAGCAGCAAATCAAACGCACAGCGTTGAATAGAGCTCTGTGATTGTTTCATGTGACCTCATAGTAATGTTTGTGAATACGGGCTTAAGCATCATTATCATCATTATCATTAGTCACAGGACGTCCACTGCTGATCATAGGCCTCCCCCAATGATTTCCACATCGCCCGGTAAGTAGCAGCACAAAATAGAAGCGGCCTGCATCCAGCGCATTAGTAAGTATATGATTATTTTATTGTATTATAAAATTGTAGATAATACATACATCTACCAATGATGGTCTTCTTGCAAATATTTTGAATCTCTTCTACAAATTGAAGGTCTAATTCTGCTTCGTTTTGAGTTTCATCTTCAGCTGACAAAGAAACCAATACAGACTCCTCTTTTGGGAAATTTGATTCATCTGATTCTCCTTCATCGGACGTAAGTGCCGCTAAAAATTTAATGAATCCTAATTTATTATGTAAAAAATATACTGGTACAGTCAGCATCAAATATACAGGTCATCACAAAAATCGGCCCACCTACGTTTTACAGGAAAACTCGTTTCTACTGACACACAATCATGGTGCCCCAACAATATTGGTGTTATTTGAAAGCCCAATAAATATCCTTAAAGAAAAACACATTTAATTCCTACTAATTTCTTAATAAACGATTAACATATACAATAAATGTGACTTGAAAAAAGATCTCACTTTGGGCTCACCTCTGGGATCAATTAGACCAATTTTATGGTTATAAAACCAAATAATGATCTCCCGTGTCCTCTTTAACAGATGGATAGCGATTAATCTCAACTTAACAGTATTAAAACCATAAAAGTTGTCTCAAGCGTCTGGATCCTTCTAAAGACACATTTTTGGGGTAAAAACTTTCCTTTAATGAAATAAACTTTAGAACTAGGCTTTCAAATGGTGCCAGAATGCATACGTTTGAAAGTGCTTGTCGCGGGAGGGTCGATTTTTATGATGACCAGTGTAGTTCGTCACACCCAAAGTGGCCAAAAAGTTGACAAACTAACACAAGTTATTCCAGTTGAAACAAAGACGTGTTGCACAACTTTGGGAGTCACAAACTGTTTGACGCTGACTGTCATGCATTGAGCACTTGAGCAGTAGTATAGTTCCAAAATACTGAACTGTCCTATCCATGACATTGACAGTGGGGCGCCACCGTCAATACCGGATCGCTGGTTCCGATTTTTGCCATGTTGGAAACCATATAGTTGAACAATAGTAGCGCCCCCCTGTCATTGAGTTTGGTGGGACAGTTCAGCGTGGGTCATCTATATCAATCCATTTAGTTAATTCACCATTGATTGGTGAATATTCTTAAATATTTCTAATTTGACGAATTTTCTTAGATAATCATGCGGCGGTGCGTATTTCATGATAATTTCGAATTCTTTGGTGTGACAAGTCTTGATATGACGCCGTAAGTTGTACACGTTTTTTGGAAAAATTGCTATTTCCTTTGAACAGAACGTGCACGTGTACACATTCTCACCTTTAGCCAAGTCGAAGAAATTCCAAATGCAAGTTTTTCCTTTAACTGAAAAAAAAAACATTTAAAAGAAAATACTCTTTTGATCACTAATAAAATCAATGACGATTGTGAAACCTGAATATGACCTGAATTCATTCAACAGTTAATACAAGTACATTGTAAAGAGCTAGAAAAAGACTACAGGCTTTATTATTCTATCAATCAACACTTAAATATAATTGTGTCAAATATCCTACTTAATATTATAAATGCGAAAGTTTGTGTGGGTGTCTGGATGTCTGGACGTTTGTTACTCTTTCACGCAAAAACTACTGAACGGATTTTGATGAAACTTTACAGTATTATTGTTTATAACCCAGAATAACATACAGGCTATAATTTATGACGATCTGTGATAAACTAAATTTCATGCGGGGTGAAACCGCGGGCAAAAGCTAGTAAACAATAATTCTCACCTTTTCCTAAGACAGGTTGCTTGCAAATGCTTTTTATCTTGTGTTCAATTTCTTTACCTTTCTCCTCTATATTTATGTACTCAATATCCTCATAATATGTTTGATCGTCTTGCTCAAGATACTCAATCTCATACTGTTGATCACTGTCAATCGACACATTGTCGCAATGATCTGTTGCTTTTTCTGTAACAAAAGTAACAAGAATTTTCATTTTTATACAACGAAACGGTGACTAAAGGTCATAGCAGACTTATCAACTCGGAAAGGGATCAACACCGTATCGCATTTCGCGCACTGTCAATCGCGAGGCGAGGCGCTTACGTGACGGTGCCGATAGGTGTGCGTTTCATTATGGAGTTCCATACAAAGAATACTGACCGCCTCGAGTTGATACGGTTCCGATCCCTTTCCGGGTTGGTAAGTGTGCTACGTCCTTAAATAAAAAACAAGTTTTTTCGCAATAATAGCCATTAAAAACAGAAACACTTTACCTCTTTTCTCCAGTCGACATTAGAAAATGGTCTACATTTGAATGGGACAGAATAGTGAATAAATAACAACACATAAATATTGTGATATTTTTATTGTTGCTCTGTTATTACAATACATCTTAGACTGCATCTCACTTAACATCAGGTTTTTGCAATCAAATAACTTTCATACAACTCAGTTAAACTTAAAAACACACACGCTTAATCCTAAAATAACATTTCTTGAATTATACACTAAAACAAAGTAATAGGGATAATGACTGGGTAATGAAATCGAAATACTATTTAGTCCGTCAGACAGATAATAAAAAAAATTTGGAGACATAGTTTTTATTTTTTTTTCATACTCGAATAATTACAGTATTATAATATATTGAGTTGAAATGTCGCGTGACGTCACTTTTGAGTAAAAAATCTACTCAAGCGTGACGTAACGCGCCATTTTAACTCCTATTATTTAACTATGAAAGAAAATAAAAAATATGAGTCTAATATTTTCTAATTATCTGTCTGACGGACAAATAATTGAAATTTTGTCATCTAGCCTATTACAATTATAACGTGAGCATGTTGGCCAAATGGCAAAATTGTAATTTAGTTCATCAGACAGAAGAACAGTTGAAATGTTGCGTGACATCACGCCTTGTAGAGTTTTTACTGAGAAGTGGTGACGCCACGCGACATTTCAAGTCAACATAACTATTTTAGAATGAAAAAAAAAGTATCCATTATTTTTTATTACTTTTCCGACGGACAAAATAAATCATCAGTTCATTCTTGGTCGTACAAGATCGCCTCTAGCACTCAATTTGTCTGTGGATTGTGGATCCCCAATTCGCTGAACTTGACAATCATTAAATCAAAATTTATCAAGCGAGGGACATCTTAGAGTACGTTAGGAAAACGCGTTTATTTCACCTTTCATCAATTCTACGGCAAATATAGCCGAACTAAAGTAAATTCTAGACATAATTACACCCAAAACATCAATCTTGATAAACTATAAGTATGCTAAATTATATTTTTTTGAGATGCGACTCTTAACGCTAAAAATTAAAATAATAACTTTATAAATCACTAATGTCACGAGCCTGCTTTACTGACAGTAAAATGTACCATTTTTTCATGTACCTAGATCACAATAATAAAAAAAAACACTAGTCGAATAACCTAATACTCTAAACAATAAGTTTAGTGCAACATTTTTACTGCTTTTTTGTCATTTTAACTCAATTTAATATAATTTCCTGCATGTGTCACCAAATATTTTGGCGGTGCATGAAAATGGCTGCAATTAGCTTCTTTTATTGTTCCGTCTTTACTCAATCTTATTTTTGCTTTACACCCGGCATCCTTCTTGGAACAGTAATAGTTCAGAGAGCTTGCATTTTGTGAGTATGTAAACCCATTCATCATCAGCAGTGGCTTGCCTTTACTTGAGGGGATGAACTTGTACGACATTTTTCCTGAAACTATAATTCGATTATAAAATAAAAAACTACTTAGATCTAACTTTTTGACTACATTGGGTGTCACGAATTATTTGACGCGGGTACTATACGTTCATTATGATTAGTATCATTTTTAGTGTTCCGTAGTCCTAACAAGGAACCCTTATAGTTTGGATATGTCTGTCTGTCTGTCCGAGGTTTTGCTTCCATACTAGTCTAGTCATGTAGTCGGAATAGGTTGAGTGATTCTTTCAGGCAGTACATTTTCGCATGTTAACAGCACTATGGAACCGCTGGGAAGGGGTATCTTTGTTCAACAATGACGTCGAAACTAATAGACGTAGACTATTAAATTAACATTCGTTTTGTAGAATAGCTTAATATTAATACAATGCAAATAAAACATACTTTAACGACCTGGTTTTTATTGTGTTAGAAAATAACTGAAAAAGAAGTGAAAAAAATATTTATTTTTCTAATTAAATCCATTCTTACTCCTTTAAAATGTATGAAACTTGTGTCTGTTTTCTACTTCTACTAATAGATAATTTTATTGGCTATGGCATGATATAAAATATTTGCTTATTAGTGTTAAGCTACCCACGCTGTCACTTGTTTTTGAAGGAAGTGGTGAAAACTAAAAATTAAAAACTTTAATCCTTGTAATTTTGCGAGAAATGGGTCAAGCCCCGAAGTATATTGTGGTAACGACAGACAACTACTTACGGAACCCTACACTGCGCGTGCCACGACACGTACTTGGCCAGTTTTTTTGTTATTTTAACTCAATTTAATATAATTTCCTTCATGTGTCACTATATATTTTGGCGGTGCATGAAAATGGCTGCAATTGGCTTCTTTTATGGCTCCATCTTTATTCAATTTTATTTTTGCTTTACACCCAGCATTCTTCTTGGAACAGTAATAGTTCAGAGAGCTTGCATTTTGTGAGTATGTAAACCCGTTCATCATCAGCAGTGGCTTGCCTTTACTTGACGGGATGAACTTGTATGACATTTTTCCTGAAACTATAATTCGATTATAAAATAAAAAATACTAGTCTTGTCTGCGAGCACGTAGAATTTTGGGTCATTGGACAAAATTCTACGTGCTCACAGACCGGGCTTTACGTACCTAAATTTAACTACGTGCCATAAGACATCCAAAAATAAGTATGGTCTTGAACAGCAATGAACAGTTTGAGATTGAGTGTCTGTCGAAGAAAATGCCTTGATAATATTAAGATAAGTTAGCTTAATTTATTTATTATGACACTTGTAACTTGAAAATACATTTAATTGCTATATTTTGTGATATTACGAGTTGAAAACTTTTTCATCTAAGTCATTGTCGATACTGTCGAATATACATAGGTACAAAATTAGCAAACATGACATATTAGCGATTTGATTGCGATATGAATATAACATGTTTTCCAAATGCCTTCAAAAAAGTTATTAACACTTTCACAGCGACCCACGAACTCGTTCCGTGCTCCTTAAATTTCTCTAACTCTATAGTCGATACAAATATGCCGAAAAACGCCCGCGCACTAGAAGTAGCGGCGCAATAAATCGCCCTGCTGTTAAAGTGTTAGACTAGGCGCAGACCACCGATTTTTAGTTGGCCGATAGTTGTGCCCGATTTTAAACTGTATGAAGAATCGGCCAAATCAATTCGGTGTAATGTGCGCACTTCCATACATGCCCATACTGATCAACTGCCCGACTATACTATCGGCCGACGAAAAATCGATGGTCTGCGCCTAGGCTTAAGGTTTACATTTTTACATAAGTCCCTGACATAGTTTGATAATATTTTGGGGGCTCGTGTGTGTGATCACAATTAGCAATTACCACGTTCCCTTCTTCGGACAACTTCACGCGAGCCCTGCATCCCGCTCTCATCCTCCTCGAGCAGTAATAGTTCCTGCTTCTATTATCCTTGCGATAAGTAAATCCGTTCATCATCAGCAGCTGGGTTCCTTTAGAAGTCTGTATCATTGTGTACCACTGTCCTGGAAGTTAGAATCTTTCATCATTGATTAGAGTTAGAATAATAATTGTAAAATGTAATTGTAAGCCACGATAGCCGAACGGTGAAGGGGTCGGACTGGCCGACTCGTGATCCGGGGAACGCGGGTTCGGTCCCCGCCACCGTTCAACTATTTTAGTGAGCTCACTCGTGATTCAAGCATAATTATTTAGCTTAGTACGAGGAGCTAACGGGACTATTATTAATTTGTAATAATTAGTAATCTTTAAAAAAATACACAACCTTTTACGTTAAACTAATTTGAATTCAAAAACATTTGTTTGAATCACGATATTTTATTTTACACTACACTTGTCTGTACTCTGTAGCACATATTTTCAGAACTATGGATATGGATTAGTGTCCAAACAAAGTTAGCAGTCTTCGATACCCTGTCAGAGCACAATGAAATAGAGAATGGGTCCAAAATGTATGTAACTTCACAACTTCACATAATCCCCTGCTTTCGTCACTAGATATTTTGGTGGAGGATGAATGTGGTTGCAAATGGCGTCTTTTATCGCTCCTCCTGCAGTTAGTTTTATTCTTGCTCTACAACCGTTGTTTTTCTTTGAACAGTAGTAGTTCAGGGTCTGAGCTTGTCGGGAATATGTGAACCCGTTCATCATCAATAATGGTTTGCCTTTAGACGAGAGAATGAACCGGTACGATTGTTCTGGAATAATAAATAACAATATTTAAATTTTAAAAAAATATGAATTCTTTTTTGTGAAATTTTTTGGCGATACCATTATCGCAAGGGCAATTTGACATCATATAACGTAACGTATCAATAACATAAAAAACTTTTTAATGAAATTGAATCTTGAAAGAATTACATTTTTACATGTTCACTTTATATTTATTTTAGTTACTTAGTTATTATGGTCAGGAGGAAAAAGGTACACTGTTATTCCGGATCATAAGACCAAAACTCACAAGTCTGTAAATTGTGAAACGTTTATTAAGTAGTGTCTCGTTATTTCTTTTAACAAGTCAATAATTAAGACGAGTATCGTTTAACATTTCGAAAGCTTTTCTGTTTTAATCATTGCTCTCTCGCATTCGTAACTTCATTCCCGCATTCGACTTGACTGTTTTCACATCTTTCATGCCTGGCATTTGTCTGTTAATGTCATCCCCGTGGTAAAAGTCACAAATCAGTTGTATTCCTTCATCGTACCGTTTTCAAGGCTTAGGTTAGTTAATTTTGTCACTTGTAGCAATTTGTAATTCCGCAGGTGGAGCTATTTTTTACAACTTTCACTCCTTTATTGGGACTAGCTGGTAGATTACGTAACACTTTTGCCACAGCCCACAGCTAAAATGTATGTAACTTCACAACTTCACATAATCTCCTGTTATCGTCACTATATATTTTGGTGGAGGATGAATGTGGTTGCAAATGGCTTCTTTTATCGCTCCTTCTGCAGTTAGTTTTATTCTCGCTCTACAACCATTATTTTTCTTTGAACAGTAGTAGTTCAGGGACTGAGCTTGCTGTGAATATGTGAACCCGTTCATCATCAGCAAAGGTTTGCCTTTCGACGAGGGAATGAACCGGTACAATGATTCTGAAAAGATAATACACTATCTTTTTATTGATTAGACCTAATGTACACTGTGAAATGCAATAAAGATTTGAGTATTGAGTATTGAAGACATTTAAAAAGGTGTTAATCTTCCTAAATATGTTAAACCATTGTTATTGTTTATTATTGCTCCCCGTTTTCCAGAGTTGCAATTAAAAAGGTTATAAAATTAATATAAATCATCATCTGCCTAGACAGCATTTTACCTTGGATTTGGCAAGCCAAACTTCAGTCGGCGACTTTTCGCAAGTCATCATTCCACTTATATTATATAAATTGCAATCAAGAACTGGATAATAAATTGTAACATGTGTCATGTAACAGTTCACACATAGATGACAGATTCTGGTGGGCTGACCTCAAAACTAGGATTTAATCCCTCTATTTATTTTTAAATTATTCAATCAATTTTACCCTAATTTGAATTTTTAAGATTGTTTTGGTTGCACTGAAAAATTAAAACATTATTTTATTTATTAAATAGGCCAACCAAGAAGACAAACACTAAAACAATTTTTACAACATTTTTGAACTTAATAATATATTTTTATTAATCCACAATTATTTACACCTGATAAATAAAGCCAATTAAGGCGAATATCACACTGCACCGCGCTCCGCCGCGGTACGCGGGACGACAGATTCAATCATTGTATGCAAGCACCTCAGTTTGTAAAGAAAACACGCGCGGCACAACACACTGACAACGCGTCTGCGCGCGGGATTCTTTATACCTATGTAGCCACGCGGACCGCGGCAGAGCGCGGTGCAGTGTGATAATCGCCTAAGGCATGACACTGATGTATGTAATGCTGCGACTTATTAGTGACATGAACGGTTGGTGTTGATAGACCGTCTTTATTCCAATTACCCGACTGTCCCAGAAGGAGGGTTATATTTTTCGAGTGTATGTATGTATATTTCATTGGCACGGCCTACAGCCTAAATGGCTTGATTTTAGCGTAAGAGGTGTCATTAAACTCGTATAAATCGTGAGAATGACACTGGCTATATTAAATAAAATTGAAAAAATCAAAATGGCAGATTTCAGGCTCCACAATGTCTTTAAAAAAATCTTTTTTTCTCAAAAGTTATCGAGTGGTGTATCAAAATAAAGGGCTTTTTATGTAGCTTACAAAAATATATGGTACCTATAAGTTAAGTACTTACGTACAACTTACGTAACACTTTTGCACAGCCTACAGCTAAAATATATGTAAATTCACAACTTCACATAATTTCCTGTTTTCGTCACTAAATATCTTGGAGGAGGATGAATGTGGTTGCAAATGGCTTCTTTTATTGCTCCTTCTGCATTAAGTTTTACTTTCGCTTTACAACCGGTATCTTTCTTTGAACAGTAGTAGTTCCGGGACTGATCTCGCTGTGAATATGTGAACCCATTCATCATCAGTAAAGGTTTGCCTTTGGAGGAGGAGGGAATGAACCGGTACGATGGCTCTGGAATGATAATTCATATTTTTTTTATTTAAAATGATGAAATATTGACGGAATTGTATATTGATTTGGTAAAATCTTCCTAAATATCTTAATAATAATTAAACCACTGTTATTTCTTCCAAGCTACTCCTCCAAAATTGTAATTAAAATAGAAGGCTATGACTGTTAAGAATGCCTCGATTATAATTCAATTAAAACGCAATATAATCAAATCATATTTATTTACATTGACCTATTAAACTAAAGCATAAACTGTATGTAATGCTGCGTATTTTTTATGACATGTTCTAATTTGCTAAGAATATATCTTCATATAATCCCCTGAATCCGTCACTATACAGGGTGTTGATTTCAATACCCGCCATATTTAGGGAGTTCATTAAGTATCTTATTCTGATCACGAATCAGCAAAAAAACTGACTTCAAATTTTTTTTTAATTATATTTTAAATATCTTCGATTTCCNTATATCTTGGTGGAGGATGTATGTGGTTGCATATAGCTTCCTTTATTGCTCCTTCTGCAGTTAGTTTTATCCTCGCTTTACAACCGGAGTCTTTCTCTGAACAGTAGTAGTCCAGGGACTGATCTCGCTGTGAATATGTGAACCCGTTCATCATCAGTAAAGGTTTGCATCCTTTGAACGAGGGAATGAACCGGTACAATGGTTCTGGAAAGATAATTCACTATCTTTTTATGACTGAAGACATTTAAAACGGTTATAATATTGACGGAATTGTACCTATATTTTCCCCGGAAACGTAGGTATGATAAAATCTTTCAGAATTGTAACTAAAAATAGAAGGTTATGAACCTTAAGACTGCCTCGATTATAATGAACTTTAAAACGTAATAAAATTTAATCAAATCACATTAATTTATTTACATTGACCTAATGAACTAAAGCATAAAGGCAGAATACTGATGCTGTATGTAATGCTGCGTATTTTTCGTGACAAAACGTTTTAATTTGAGTTATCGTTCTAAGTACTTTTAAATTATAATATTGTCTACAAATCGCTGCTAATGCTGCTAAGGATATATCTTCACATAATTCCCTGTATTCGTCACTAAATATCTTGGAGGAGGATGAATGTGGTTGCAAATGGCTTCTTTTATTGCTCCTTCTGCAGTTAATTTTATTCTCGCTCTACAACCGGAGTCTTTCTTTGAACAGTAGTAGTTCAGGGTATGGCCTTGCTGTGAATATGTGAACCCGTTCATCATGAGTAAAGGTTTGCTCCCTTTGGACGGGGGAATGAATCGGTACGATAATTCTGGAAAAAAAATGCCATATTTAAGACAAGATTTTTAAAGGGCTATTCATGCTGACTACAGTGAGAAATTAAATCATAATATTCATTTTATTCAAATAATCACATTTATTTAATAAACTCACATCCAAACAGCGCATCCAGCCTGTATCCTAATACTGTTGCTGTGAGTCTATCTATTATTTGCTGAAACTAATAACTAGGGTTGCTACTTTCAACTTTGATGTTGTTGTTAAACTAACATTTTAACTTAGATTAATTTTACATCTTTATATATTCTCCAGAGGGTGTTACGTAGTATCTCGGTGGGTCATGGTTGTGATCGGGATATGCCGCGTACACAACCCCCTGCTCTGTCAATTTCACCCGGGCATTGCACTTCGTTGCTTTTTTCTTTGAACAATAATAGTTCCAGGATTTGTTGTGTTTCCAGAACGTAAACTGATTAAACATCAACAGGTTTCCTCTAGGTGTCGGTATCATTGTATATGATTCACCTGAAAGTTGTTCAACTTTAAAAAAACAATTAGATGTACATTTTTAATTAATGTTTATTTTCTCAATATTTTAGGCATGCATAACTTTATTTAACAATTATTAATCTACTCGATCGCATTGGGGTAACCTGTAATATTAGAGATGTGATTGTTGTTAATTAAATAAATTTACATCGAATATAACTACAAAACTCATTTCAGTTTTACTTCAATGTTTTTCATATTCAATCATTTCTTATTTTTCTAAAATACATTACATTAAAAATAGTAAGACACGGGTCTTAACGCGAAGTTTATTATTGAGTTACATTATGTACTCACGGCTTGACGTTTCGGTGGTCACAAGCAGACTGAAATCTTATATTATACATTACATTAATTTCTAATTTGTGTAAGACAATAAATATTTTCTTGGATTCAGTTAAGTTAATAACTTACATTGTTCCAAATAACACTAAAAAAAGTATTTCAAACACCTACACAAAGCAGATTTACTGATATTTTATTTTGTAGATCCTGGCTACACAGGAGTTGCAGCGGTGGGAACGAGAGTCTCGTGCTATTCTATTCTACACTTTAACATAACGTCCTGAAGGTGTAATATAGTATCTCGGCGGTTCATGATTGTGATCACAGAGAGCTTCCTTCACAGCGCCTTCTGCAGACAACTTCACCCGAGCCTTGCATCCTTGAACTCTCCTCGAGCAGTAATAGTTCCAGCTTTTGTTGTCTTTGCGGAAAGTAAACCCCTTCATCATCAGCAAAGTCCCTCTGCGTGACTGAGACGGTATCATTATGTACGAATGACCTAAAAGTTTAATATAAGATTTTAAACTTTCGCGTTCCGTTTCAACTAAAATCAAAATCAAAATCTTCTTTATTTGTTTAGACTAATTAAATTAGTTCTTGCAAATCGTCAAATGCTCTTAAGGAGCCTATACATGTCTCATTCTTTTTTGCCCTACCAGCGCTTCGAGACAAACATTTGGCAAGTGCTGAGAAGAAGCGCCGCAACAAACTCAGTCACCACTAAAATAGAGAAACACGATTTATATGAGTTGTCATTGTGACCACGGCTGCAGTATAGCAGCTGAAACGTCAAGCCGTGAGTACATGTAACTCATATAAAAAATATCGCGTTGAGACTCGTGTTTCTCTATTTTACTTACCTAAAAGTTTATAGTCAACTTACACTTTTATTCGCATCTTATGTAACATTATATAAAATATTATTTTTGAATATGGTTTAAAAATATGGATATGAAGAGATCAGTAATTTACTTAAATATTTATTATGAATGTTTCAATAGAAGACCTACAGAGATACAAATAGAAGTTGCTATAAAGTACTCACATGCATAAAGCACATCACCTTCTAAAACATAAGACAGAAAAAATGGCTATGGAGAATTGGAGATACCATTATAAAATTAATAATGATTATTAAGGCAATATTCAACAGAATAGCACACAATTTACAGAAGAATACATAGTATGTATGTAATTTACAGAAGAATATATAGTATGCATATTGCATATTAAGGATGCCGAGACCTACGTTAAAACTTTTCGTAACGCGCAAATTTAAGCGTAAGATATTTTTATTTTTTACATTTTAATATATTGTCCCTTAGGTGTCCTGTAGTATTTCGGGGGTTCGTGCGTGTGATTGCAGTTGGCTTCTCTAACTTCCCCGTCTACCGACAGCTTCACTCGGGCCTTGCACCCTGACATGATCTTCGAGCAATAGTAATTCAGAGTTTTTCTGTCTTTATGAAATGTAAACCCGTTCATCATCAGCAAATGGTTGCCTCTGGCTGTCGGTATCATCGTGTAGTTTCGGCCTGAAAGTTTATAATTGTCAACGTAACATCTTATGTAACATTAAATATAAGATTATTTATTGAAGATGGATAAAAATATGGATATGAAGACATCAGTACTTTACATATTTATTGATTACACTTAACAGAACTGTAATTTGACGTCTCGCGACATTTGAGATATTGTTTTTTACATTTTAATATATTGTCCGGTAGGAGTTATATAGTATTTTGGGGGTTCGTGCGTGTGACTGCAGTTCGCTTCGATGATTTCTCCATCTACCGACAGCTTCAGCCGAGCCTTACACCCCGACAGGACCTTCGAGCAATGGTAATTCAGACTTTTCTTGTATTTGTGAAATGTGTACCCGTTCATCATCAGCAAATGGTTGCCTTTGGCTGTCGGTATCATCGTGTAGTTTCTGCCTGAAAGTTTATTTGTCAACATAAAATCTTAAGAAACATTAAATATAAGATTATTAATTGAAGATGGATAAAATTATGGATATGAAGACATCAGTACTTTTCATATTTATTAACTACACTTAACAGAGCTGTAATTTGACGTCTCGCGACATTTGAGATATTGTTTTTTACATTTTAATATATTGTCCGGTAGGTGTTATATAGTATTTTGGGGGTTCGTGCGTGTGACTGCAGTTCGCTTCGATGATTTCCCCATCTACCGACAGCTTCAGCCGAGCCTTGCACCCTGACAGGATCTTCGAGCAATGGTAATTCAGACTTTTTCTGTCTTTGTGAAATGTGAACCCGTTCATCATCAGCAAATGGTTGCCTTTGCGTGTCGGTATCATCGTGTAGTTTCGGCCTGAAAGTTTATTTGTAAACATAACATCTTATGTAACATTAAATATAAGATTATTTATTTATTGAAGATGGATAAAAATATGGATATTTTTCATCAGTATTTACTTTTCAAATTTATTAACGACACGTGACATAACAGAGCTGTAATAATAATTCACATTTGACGTCTCGCGACATTTGAGATATTGCTTTTTTTACATTTTTATATATTGTCCGGTAGATGTCCTGTAGTATTTTGGAGGTTCGTGCGTGTGATTGCAGTTCGCTTCTCTAACTTCCCCGTCTACCGACAGCTTCAATCGAGCCTTGCACCCCGACAGGATCTTCGAGCAATAGTAGTTCCGGGAGTTACTGTTTTTGCGGAACGTGTACCCGTTCATCATCAGCAAATGGTTGCCTTTGGCTGTCGGTATCATCGTGTAGTTTCGGCCTGAAAGTTTATTTGTCATCATAACATCTTATTATGTAACACTAAACATAATATTATTTATTTCAGATGGATATAAATAATAATATGGATATGAAAACATCAGTATTTACTTTCATTTTTATTAAGTACTTAACAGAGCTTTAAAATTCACATTTGACGTCTCGCGACTTTTGAGATATTGTTTTCTTTTTTAGATTTTAATATATTTTCCGGCAGATATTCTGTAGTATTTTGGGGGTTTGTGCGTGTGAAAACAGTTCGCTTCTCTAACTTCCCCGTCTACCGACAGCTTCACTCGGACTTTGCATCCTGACATGACCTTCGAGCAATAGTAGTTTGTTCTACTTTGTTTATGAAATGTGAACCCGTTCATCACCAGCAAATGGTTGCCTTTGCGTGTCGGTATCACCTGTAGTTTCTGCCTGAAAGTTTATTTGTCATTATAAAATCTTATTGTATGTAACATTAACACAACCATACATAAACGAGCATTATCCTATTCCTTTCTTTTTTAATATACTATCATTTAGAGTAAATCTTTGTATGTCAATGAAAGAGAGTTAGTAATCTAGCATAATTTATTTCAATTTACTGCTGTAAATTTTCTTATATACCAAAGTAAATGCTTACTTAGTGAACTAATACTACTAAAGCCTAAATCGCTCGCGCGTAATTATATTGCTGTCGCGACTGTACGACGGGCGCCCGCAGTGAGTGTGCGAGCGCGACAGCAACAAATTTACGCGCGAGCGATAAGGATGGGTGTAGCTTGGGGTCATTGGACAAAATTCTACGTGCTCACGGACCAGGCTTTAGACTTAATTAGAGCTATCCTAATGGGAAGCAGCGAGTTCTCTGACTAGGTACTTACCGGGAAGACTCGGTAATAACTCTGTATACAAGTATTTTTGGAAATAAATGAATTTTTATTTGTTTATTATTTATTAAATATAAGATTATTTATTGAAGATGGACAAAAATATGGACATGAAGACATCAGTATTTACTTTTCATATTTATTAACGACATGTAACTTAAAAGATGTAGTTCACGTTTTTTTTATGTCTCGTGACATTGAGATATTGTTTTCTTTTTTAGATTTTAATATATTTTCTGGCAGATGTTCTGTAATATTTTGGGGGTTCGTGCGTGTGATTGCAGTTCGCTTCTTTAACTTCCCCGTCTACCGACAGCTTCACTCGGGCCTTGCATCCTGTCATGATCTTCGAGCAATAGTAATTCAGAGTTTTTCTGTCTTTGTGAAATGTGAACCCGTCCATCATCAGCAAATGGTTGCCATTGTCTGTCGGTAATATCGTGTAGTTTCGGCCTGAAAGCTTATAATTGTCAACATAACATCTTATGTAACATTAAATATAAGATTATTATAATAAATAACAATTAGCTTGTGAAACTTTTTTCGTTAACTGTACATACTTAGTGCAAAAGCCGAAAAAATAAATATTTTAAATCGGGGGCGTCCACCACGGGTGCGTCGAACACTGGGGGACTCTGCCACGGACCCCCAAGTGTGCCCAAGTGAAGATGGATAAAAATATGGATATGAAGACATCAGTATTTACTTGTAAAATTTATTAACGACACGTAACTTAACAGAGCTGTAATTCACATTTGACGTCTCGCGACATTTGTGATATTGTTCTTTTACATTTTAATATATTGTCCGGTGGGTGTCCTGTAGTATTTCGGGGGTTCGTGCGTGTGATTGCAGTTTGCTTCTCTAACTTCCCCGTCTACCGACAGCTTCAGTCGAGCCTTGCACCCTGACAGGATCTTCGAGCAATAGTAATTCAGAGTTTTGCTGTCTTTGCGGAATGTGTACCCGTTCATCATCAGCAAATGGTTGCCTTTGGCTGTCGGTATCATCGTGTAGTTTCGGCCTGAAAGATTAAAATAAGAATTATTGGTATGAAACTCATTATAATAATTATTAATTTGGTTGCAAGAAGTGGTTGAGAAAAATCATCAGCTTGTTTATATCGTCAGTTGAGAAATCATCCATATTAATCCTATCAAGCAATATTGGTAAACAATCTACGCCAATCCATGTTTTTAATTGACTTGCTTATATTTGGAAATTGGTAAATTTCAGCGAAATAAAATTGTATTTTTGACTGGCAAAGCTAGCATGAAATGCACGATATTTATAGTAACATTATACCTACCAAGTTGTGTCTAGAATGTCATTTTTGGATTAGGTTCTTAAAATAAAAAAATGCTAAAGAGTTTAAATGATTCATACTTTTATGGTATTGTATTTTATTGAAATAATTTGAATAAATACTTTAATACATCTATCATAAGTACATACACCATATATTCGTGTTTAAAATACATTAAATACAGCCGTGAAGTTCCAGCTTCGCAGCCTTTTTTGTGAAACTACACTTGACCTATTTGTATTATCTTTGGTATATCTAATTACCTACAATAAAACATCTGATCATATGAATATAAATAAATAGTAATTACTTAAATGAGTGGACATGATCAGATTTCCGCATGATATAGGTACATTCCTAGCTATCGTTAATAAATTAATAAAGTATGAATAATTGAAATACGGGAAACTCTAACATAAAATACATATAAAACATTAAAAAATGAAATTATTAACCGAATCACAGCTTTCCATCATCAACAGTTCACACGTTACAGTATAGTATACAGACAAGTATTTTTTTTAACATTATAAGTCTTAAAATTGCACGATTATTACATTGCACAGTTGCACTACACATCAACGTATTTACATGAAGGTCCTGTAATGTACCTACTTATTAGTCGTAGATTAAATTAGTAAAATATTTCACTATCATTACAATATTGTATGTAGAATTTACACTAATTACAAAATGTGGGTTACAATAGATATTATAAATAACTTGAAAAAATCGAACTGCCTAAGGCGGGAATTGAACCCACGACCTTCCGCTTGCCGGGCGACTGCTAACGCTAAAAATTAAATAACTATACAATAGATATTTCTTGTCATACATAGAGGTATATGCTATTATGTAAAGAATTTTGTTATTTATTAATTCTTAACGATAAAAGCTTCAACCACACCAACGCGTGCAGATCGCCATCGTCGTCGGCGTGATCAACGCCTGTAGCACACCTCCGCCGCGAAACTAACGCGAAACAATTTCAATATACTACATCTCTGCGTTTACTTCACCACGTTGCTAAGGTGGGGATGTGATTGCAGGAATGTATATTGAAATTGTTTTGCTATCATAGTTTCGCGGCGGAGGTGTGCTACAGGCGCAAAGGCCAATGACAGGTCGCGCGACCTATGACAGTTCACGCGACCTGTCATTGGCCTTTGATCGCACCATGATCGCGCCGGCGATAGCGATCTGCACTCGTTGGTGTGGTTGAAGCATAAGACTTTTTATACTTACAAGATTTAACACTACGGCGAGACATTTCGTTTTTTATTAAAGAGTAAAAGAAAATACAATTGATTCTCAGTTCATTCAAATACTGTCAAAATGTGCCAAACTTTTGGCCGAAACAAATACAATGAGCTAACAGCAGCCAAATGATGTGGAAACGTCAGTTTGATGAGCTCACTTAACGCCGCACCCACGATGGATAAATACTGAAGGCGTGACAGCAGTTCGCGAGCGAGACAGAGACCTAAGTCAGTAACGATCGCAGAATCTCCCGTCTCTGTCAAGGCGCGAGCCGTTGCCTTTAATGCTTCAAACTATTACAACAGCTACACTAAGAGCTACGAACGCTAAGATTCTATTACAAACGTGGTCATAAGTAAAGTCAAAGTCCTTCACCATGAGCCGATCTATCAGCAGAAGTATGACGCGTCCTCGTGGACCGAATCTCCAAGTTGCAGAGGATGGAGATGCTGCTGCATATATTTGATCCTTATTTGTGGAGGATCATGTATATGGTTACGCTGGGCTCGTATCACCTTCCCGTCCGAAGCCAGTTTGAGTCTAGCCTTGCATCCTCTGGTCCTATACGTGCAGTAATAGTTGGAGCTCCTGTTATCCTTGGCGAACCTGAAGCCGTTCATCAGGAGCAACGGATGTCCCCTCATTGATGGTATCATAGTATACCCTGAGGAATACATGTTTGTTATTACCGGGATTATTTTTATTAAGGCACTACAGTATAAATATGGCATTCCATTTTAAACGTAGATATAATTACTTACAAAAAAGGTATAGATGGTTAAAATAAAAATACATTATCAGGTAATTATTTTATTTACTTTAATAAAAGTAAATGTTTATTTACTAATAAGTAAAGCTTAAAAAATATTCATATCATATCATTAACCAAATCGACACCCGCTCGGATGAAAGCAATTCCATCTCAGCTTCCTTTATTTATTTATTCATTCAAGACGCAAAACTTAAATGGTCGCTCTCATTATCATAGTGCACAATGTACACAATGACCCACTTACTCGTCCATTTTGAACCTCGCCCGAAACGAAACAGAAGCTTGCTCGAAAAATAATAGCTACGGCTCTTATGTTACAACTTACAATCTTTCTTGTCTTTGGAACAATGTCTACAATTTATACTTAGAACTAACAAATCTTACACTTTGATGTAATCTCCTCTAGGTGATATAATATACTTTGGTGGATCATGCGTGTGCGCAAAGTCCCCGTGCACGATAACCCCCTTTTCGTCCATTTTGAACCTCGCCTGGCACTTTCTCAATCTACTCGAACAATAATAATTACGGCTTTTACTGTCCTTAGAAAATGTATACTCGTTCAGCATTATTAAGTGGCTTCCTTTCTTCGTGGGGATCATTTTATAGGTATTACCTGAAATATATTGTTTTAATTAAATAATGATATTAAATACATGTGACATTCTGACATTTCTTTGAGGCTCAGAAAATGATAAATAAACAATGCAAATGTAATAAATAATTATATATTTTTAAAGGTCAAAAATATATCACGGTGTACCAAATTCTTTGTTACCAAATTATATTCTCTAATGTAACTAATAAAACATAATTGTCAATTAACAAAAAGTTATCCTATTTTTAAGAGTTAATGAAATGTACGGCTAACAGCACACCAAGCTAAACCCAAAAGTGTCTGTCAATTATATCGCGTACAACAAAAATGAATAGGTTGATGTGCTACAGGGCTATTCCCACCTCTCGTTCCCACCGCTGCAACTCCTGTGTAGCCAGGATTTAAAGCTTGACCGCCATAAAAACCCAACTAATGAAGGTCAAGTTTGTCCCGGGGGAAAGTTAAACTGTCATTGGACCCGCAACGAAATTAATCAGAAGGACCTAGGAGGAGTCCGAAGTTAAGGTTCGACTTCCCTCTATTGCAAAGCGGATGACAGTGTCATACAAAGGTTTCAACCTTTGTCTGTCGTCGACTGTATCCCATAAAGACACAACCTTACATCCTGATGTACTCCCCTGTTTCAGTTACTAAATAATTAGGGGGGCTGTGGATATGTTGAATGTCCCCAAAGATGATTTTCCCCGATGCGTCCAGCTTGAACTTAGCGCGACAGCCTTTATGTTTGCTCGAACAATAATAATTGTTGTACTGGCTGTGTTTAGAATACGTGTAGTTGTTTACCATCATCACGTGGCTTCCTTTTCTTGTAGGGATTATTCTGTAGGTTTCCTCGTCTGCAATAGTTATCATAATTATTCCCAAAGTATCTTGCATTTTTTAATTCTCAGAAAGAAATCTCTCCACAATATTTGTATTTGATAAATCAAGTACAGAATACATTAAATGCAACATTCAAAACAATAAAATTATATCTTGTAAAATCAGGTGACATATAAACATGTTCTAAATAAAACATTAGATAATAATAACTACGAATAAATTTAATTCTAAATTACAAGTATAAGTATAATTACAAATAATTTTATTGCGATTAATATTCATTAGATAACAATTTGAATATTTCTTATGATCTTCGTTAGTACCATAAAGTTCAATACGCAAAAATAATATTAGGTATAAAATATGATATTGTTATTGAGCTAATAATTAATGTAGAGACACCGGTGAATTTATTTATTATTAAGCTACAAGTATGAAATTTGCTAAAATTAGGTACTTATTGCGAGTAGTATTTCTAAAAAATTATATGTATTTACCTATTTACATTTTAATTCATAAGAAAAACACTGGAAAAACATTCATTATAGCATTTGTGCCCGTCAGTTACATTTTTTGACGAACTCTCCCGAAGGCGTCACCACATATTTAGGGGGGTTGTGTGTATGAGGCATGTCCCCGTGGACGATATGCCCTGAATCGTTGAACTTGAACTTCGCCCTACATCCTTTTGACTTGCTCGAACAATAATAATTGCGGGGACTTTTACTATCCTTCGAATATGTGTAACTATTCAACATTATTATGTGGTTCCCTTTCCTTGTTGGGAGCACGTTGTATTCCATTTTTGCTGTAAATAAAGTTTTACATACAATTCAAAATATATTCTTCTTTATGGTCGCTTATTTCTTCACTTCAATTTGATAAATCATAATGATATAAAAAATCTTAACTATTTATTAATCTTAGTTCAGCTGTAGAGACTAACAAAATTATGCACTATATCATCATTTACCTTTTAAGATATACGAAATTACCTTACCGTTTAGGCACTCATTACCTTCTGAGGAAATGGATATCAATAAATCTTTCAAATACAAAAAAAAAACAATATTTAATAAAGAATCACAAATTCATTAGGTACACGTAGTTGTTGATATAAAAAACATTACAGAAGAGCAAAATTTATTAGTACTAGGACATTCCATCACTACGACTAGATACATTAGTTTATTGCTATAACAATGGTTTTAAATCACATTTTAGTAAAATGACGTCACTTTCACAATCTGGAAATTCTGGAAGCTATAATTATCTTTGTCTATAATATCTTGGCTTGATTTCATTCATCAATTTTCTAATTTAAATTAAATAAATACTGTAGGCCTCCGTGTTTCCACGAGTACACCATAAATT